TTCGCTGTTCATATTCAACGCCTGGTACTCCAGCAGTCGCTGACTGGTGTAGGGCAGTCGGGCTAAGCGCTGCAGAGGCCTATACGACACAAACTTCCATACAACATCCCTCGCCAGCGTCATGCAGAAACCAACGATGAAACGGAAGCTTAGTTTTGCCCGCGCACTCCCTACAGAATAATATCCAACAGGACCCCAGTACAGCCCTTTGCGCGGCAGCGTGCGCAGGTCGGCGAGGTACTGCGGCACGCGCAGGAACATGTCGTCGTCACCCTTCGCGATGTAGCTCGCATTCGGGAACAGCCGCAGCGCCAGCTCGAACCAAAAGAACGTCTTGCGGCTCAGCCCGATCTCAGCCTCCAGTCCCCATTTGCCATCACCACCGACTTTTTTGCTGGTCGACGGGCGCCCATCATTCATCGGCAGCGCAATCACATCGTGCCACTGCTCCGCCTCCGCCTCCAGCCCCGTGGAGTACGTGAAGTTGTGCGACGGGTGCCGCGCCAGTACGTACAGCACCAGCATCGCACCAGTGAAGTTGTTTGCTCTCGTCGCCACACCGGGGAACCGCCAACACGTCGACCGCTGCAGATAACGGCGCCTCTGCCGCGCATCGATGTCTATCGATGGGATGCCAAGAACAATCAGGAAGTCATACGTTTGCCATTGTTGCGTAGTTATGTTAGGTATGTCGCGCAGAAGCGTATCTTCCTCGGTGAAGTCGTCAGTACCAGAATCTGCCGAGGAAACAACGTTCGGGAGACCGTTGTAGTCAATCCTAATCGAGTGGGTCCTGACACCGATGTATGTGCGGTAGAGTACAGCGAAAACCACACACACAAAGAGAATGTACTTCCAGATGGCATTACTTGTGCTGTGGCTTCGACGTCTCATGGCTTACCCTGTTCCCCTGCCTGCAAGAGAAAGATAATATAAAAGGCGAGAAGTGGTGTTTGCCCTCGGACATCATCGGTGCGTTCTGGCGTCATGCGTGTCAGCTGCGCAAAAGCGAGCGTCAGTGCTCACTCCGAACAGCAAGCCACCTGTCATATCTGTCTCTGCACCACAGCAGCTCCGACGACGACGACGAAAGGCAACCCCCTCAAAAAAAAAAAGGCCCTCGCGGCCAAAGGCATTCCTCAATATCCCACAAGCAGAATACACAGGAGTGAGGCCAGAGCACACGGCGCCAGAGATTAAATGCAACATAAGGTGAAGCACACCAATTAAAAAAAATGGCTGTTGGTGTCGGAAACAACAGATGGGTAACGCAAGTTAAAAAAAACAGTTCAGAAGACACACACTGAGTACACCCTCTGCAAAGTAACCAGAGAAGTGAACGGAGGACGTCAATCATACAACAAACCAGATCCAGGCAGCCTACACGCCCACCAACATCAGCAGTGAAACCACAATGACCTTGGAAGCCGCCTGTACTCTCTCGCCGTCGCAGCTGTGCCGTTACTAAAGCGTCTCATCAACTTCATGTAGTCCCTCGATTTAATATGATGAATAACAACAGAAGTATCACTCAAAGACCGCCTGCGGCATCCGTAACGAAGATCGTGAAAGCTGCACCGACTCTCTCGCACAAGCGTCAACTCCGGATACTTCACCTCGTGCAAAGCACGGCCCACCATCACATCCTCATGCTCCATATTTAAGGAAAGAAAATCCGCCTCTCGGGCCTTGCTGTAGGGCAGGCGCACAAGACGCTGCAGCGGTTTGTACGACACGAACTGCTGCACCACATCCCTCGAGAGTGTCATGCAAAATCCCACAATAAAGTTAAAGTTAGCCCCTTCCCCCCACCGACCCAACGGTCCCCAATACAGTCCTCGACGAGGCAGCGAGCGCAGGTCGGCGAGGTACTGCGGCACACGCAGGAACATGTCGTCGTCACCCTTCGCGATATAGCTCACATTCGGGAAGAGACGGAACGCCAGCTCGAACCAAAAGAATGTCTTGCGGCTCACTCCGACCTCAGCCTCAATGCCCCAGAAGCCCGAGCCACCAACGGTCTTGTTTGAGGACGGGCGTCCCTCATTTATCGGCAGCGCAATCACATCGTGCCACTCCGCCGCCTCCGCCTCCAGCGTCGCGGAGTACGTGAAGTTGTGCGACGGGTGCCGC